CTTTTTATCTCTGGGCACCATCCAAATAATTTTTGAAATTTGAACAACTTATAAGTAAGCTTTGTGTACAGAACAAAATAACAGTGTGATGACAGGAAAATATGTACACTATTTGCTGTTTTGTTTGATATCTAGTGCCGAGGTCAAGGAAGAGAGGAGCTATACCTCCACTCACCCCAAACGCCTACATGGCGTATAGTGAGACAAACTTTACTTTACTTTACTTATTAGTTTCTGGCAAATCATTTGATATGGCTCTGAATCATAAACAAAGCATAATTTTGTATGTATTCCAAAATTAAGGTTGTATCTGACAACTTTTCTTGTTAAAACCAACCACAAAAAGCACCAACTGGCTTAATTGTTTACAATAAAATCTGCTGTCCATTATAATCACTTTTAAAGGAAATTAAAACAGTAAAGTTGTCTCTGTGTGAAGGGAAATTAAATTACAGAAGCTTCATGCATTCTTAGCTTCTGTACTAGATGGAAGTGGCCAACCATGTTCCAGCCACTGTATCCAAAGGAAAGATTCAAGATACCCGTTGGATAGGAAGCTCGTATGGATGTAGTAGCCCTGCCTCTGCTGAGAATTGAAGCTTATTCGTCTGGGATCTGTTGTAGTTGCGAGAAGACTGAGAGAAGTGAGCATTTTGACATGTGAAGAGAGTGCATTTTTTGTACTTACATCTGTATACGTTCTCACATAAATTTAATAAGTAGTTGTTTTTTAAGTTATAGGTCTGTAACATGATCAGGGGAACATTTTGGGACAGATATTTTCAGCCTGTGGCTATGAAGTTGGCTGTCTTCTGGGTTATAGCACTGCGTAGTCTGGTTGCAGTTTAGATCCTACTTATGTGGTTATGATGTTTACTTCTCCTTACCTGTTTCAAGAAACTTGTGGTCATTTGGTCAGCGCATACATGCACGTGCGCACACACGGACACGCACGTTCCTGTTATTTACCCATTCTAACAGATTTGTTAATTTTGTTCACATGCCAGGACTGCAGGCTTATTTTTTAATAATTGGCCAGATTGAAACAAGTCTTGAGTTAATATAAACATTAACACAATTTGTGGGGTACTAATGTATCTATTTTATGAAAATAAAATTTTTTCTTTCAAGATTTGGTTCAGAAGAAACTTATTAAGGCCATTGTATACTGGTTACCAAAGTATATAATAACATTCTTGTGAAAGCTTAACTCCACCATTGGTCCAATGAGAACTACAAGAAAATATGCTTGCTAAAACCATCTTTGTTTTATAGTACAGTGTTATGTATCACACCTAAGCATCCTACATTTAATGGCATAACTTTTATTTTTACCGTCAGTAGTTAGATGTTCATGCTGACAGAATTGTGAAACATCGCAGTACAGCCTTCCTTTAATGGGAGACTTGATTTCAGTCATCAAATTGTTTTTTTCTTACATTGTATCCCACAATCTCATATTTAAATAAAATATGGCAGAGAATTTCAGGTGATCAGTATGTTTATGAAGGGTTGCCACATTCATTATATTTTTGCCTGTGTGTTCGCCTTTGGTGTGAAGTATTAGCTTTCGTATTATTGCCATTCAGCACACACCATGGAGAACTCCATTTGTCAATACTTATGTTATAACACAATTTTAGATTACAATTCATTAATTTAATGATATGTTCATGTCACATTAATTAAATGAAACATTCATTTACCACAATTTTGACATTAATATTATAGAATATTTAATTAAACCTTGTCTGTTTGCCAAATTTGTTGGCATTTCTCCCATGAACACAACTGTAAAAAGTTTGCTTTTTTATATTTTTCATATTGTTTATCATTTGTCTTGAAACCATTGCAGGCAGTAGTATTAGAAACCTAATGTTTTCTCTTCATTTACACAGACTTTGATTTTTGACTTAAATCTTGTCCATGTAGTTTGGCAGAAATATCCTAGGCGGAACATACTCGTATGTTTGTGAGCTACTACCTCCAAATCACATGAAGATTGAATCTTTCCATGAAGTATCTCATCAGAAACAAAAAGTTAAATAAACGTGGTTAAACTTGAAGTATGATTTTTTTCCTGTTATGTTTGCCCTTGAAATTGTTAGGCACACTTGTTCTGGTGTCTTAAAATTACTTTCTTATATTATATCATGTTCCTCCTGCCATGTTATGTGTTTCTTAGATGAAAGTGCATTGTGTTGCTACTCTGTTTCATGTAGACCCTGCCAGTTTGGCAGTACACATAGAACTAACTAACTAACTAAATGGCTTACGGAACCTGAAGGTGTATCATCGAATTAATCAAAGCCTTCCACTGGTTTCTATCCTGGGCTAACAGACTCCAGTTGCCTTCAACTCTTTATCTCCCGTAGATCCTACTTGATATTATCTTCCCATCTACGTCCATCCATTTGTATAACACTTCTCTCTTAACAGAGTCATAGGCTTTTTTGAATCGATGATGCTGGCTGGCACACTGATTCACTATGAATGTAGGCCGCACCCCTTAGCGGCAGAAGCTCGTACTACATCCGGTTCGCCCTCTATTGACACAGTCTTGAAACTTTCCGATCGCACCTCGTATGGATGTAGAAGTTTTTATAAATATCTACATTGTGGTTGAAGGTTTCAAGAAAATTTTAGGTATACCATACAAAATCAGTTAAAATGTCCAAATTAACTGTGTGATGTCAACAGACTGACACAGCTTGTTGCCCAAGAGAATTTTATTGAGTTTAGTTGCCATGAAAGCTTCAAGTCTGAAAGTTGAAGTTGTGGAACCAAATGATCTGCGCTCAGTATAGGAGATCCTAATTATTCAAGTCTTTGTTATCTGTTTTCCTCCATATGGGGTCAAATTGAGGAACTATACATAAAATTTCCCCACAATTCCAAGGATTACAATAATGGATGATGAATTTTTCAACAGAATATGGTTCCCATCTAGTGCACTTCAACCATTTTCTCCCAGTCTCCTACTCAGTGGGAATGCCAACAGCAACAGAAAGCTCAAGGCTTTGCTCATCTATAGGATCAAAAATTCAAGATCCTTGAAAGAATGTTGTTAAATCTTCACTACTTGTGATTTTGTTGAAATTTTCTTTCCATAAGAAAAAAAGTGTGCAGAGGAGAATCTTGATTTAAAGATTTTTTAAATTTTGAGTAATGCCATTGCTCATGTGCTTGATTATTTGTGTTTAAGGTAGCCGTCTTATGGGTTGTAGTGCCATGTAGTCTACTCTAAGTTTACCAGCGTTTCAGAGGTCCTTGCTTCCTTCATCATCAGGGTATGATGGAGGCAGCAAGGACCTCTGAAATGTTGGTTAGTTTCTACCAGACTGTGTGGTGATAAAACCCAGAAGACAGCCGTATTTGAAGTGACTGCCGTGGCATTAGTTCAAAATGTGTGTAGGATTTGTGTTATGGGTTGTTGGGAAACTATTCCTTGTTAAATATGTGGGTGGGATACTGCATTATGTTTCAAAACCATCTTGATATATGAAAAACGTGTTCCTTGTAGACCAGGATACTCCAGATCAGAGTAGATCTACCCTGCATGATGAAAATGAATCTTTGGCTGACGAATACACAATTTATTTTTTATAGGAGCAGAGACTCATAACTCAGTTCATCTAAATTGTGTATTTATTTAGCACAGTTAAACTGAACATTTTAACTGTTTGTATATGGGGCACTTTAAAGATTAAATAAATCAAACATACATTATGTAGATTTTGGGCTTTTGGGTTATGATGTCATGTAGTCTTGTTGATTTTTACAAACATTCTCTAGGCCTCTTGGTTGGTAAACACCTATACGCCTGCATGGCATTACAACCTAGAAGAACATTATCCACATTTTCACCACTGTGAAAATATGAAGTGTTATATACTGATGCAGTTGTATGAGATTAAATTGAGTGTGCAATTGTTACAAACCATGAGTACTGAGGAATGTGCCCAAAGATATAAAGATGGGAAAGTGATGTTAAATTTTGATAATGACATGAGATACAGAACATACATTTATACAATGACCCTGGCCATAGAAGAAGTCTTTATTTCTTCCTTTCTTCTCTTCCTCCTCCTCCTTCTTCTCCTCCTCCTCCTTTTTCTCCTTCTCTTCCTCCTCCATTTTAAATTTGCTTTTACAATGACATTCTCATTTTGGTTATTTTAAAATGACAGGCATGGCTATTGATCCTCTGCTGGTGCAACATGATTTCTAGTTTTGTGAATAATAATATTTATCCATATATACTTTGTGTGAGTACCCATCCAGCAGATTTAAAATATTAAATATTAGTGGTAAGTTCTATTATCTTAATTGAAACTTCCTTTTCCCACAGACTATAGAAGTAAAGCAGGAACCACCCGTTGGAGATGATATGATAGAAATACACGATGACGTGGAACCATGTGAAAGTTCTGTAAGTATTGTGACTTTACAGAATTGCAGCAGTAATAACTTATAGCAACAACATAAATTTATTTAAAATGGTTATATTGTGTCATGATGAATTTAGTTATCTTAAGTAATGTGTGTGTTATAGTTGGTTTTGGTTGGTGGAATTTTCAAGGGGAAGGCTAGGAGCGAGTCACTTGTGCAATCGTATAATGCTGACTGCACCGAGGACCTTATCGGACGGAACGCCCAAACAAAAGAAATACACTGACTGTACCACCTCAGGTACACGGAGTAGGCTCGTCCACCAGCTCCACTAGCTTTTCCACCGACCAAAAACTACTGCGCTGAATATACAGTTGTTAAATTTACATAGAACAATCTTTTCTATGTATATAGTGGTATTTGTTGTACTATTAGATTTCAGGACACTATACTGGGTGATATAAATTGAGACTGGTTATTATTTTCAGGTTTTACATGACATTAAACAGGAAGATATAGAAGTTTGTGATGTATGTGATGAAGTAGAAGACTTAAATATTGAAGTTCTGGATGATCCATTAAGTTTAACAGTTGCAGATTCTGATAGAGTACTGCCAGTAAGATCTGTCAAGAGTGAACCCATTGATGCTGAACTTATATTAGAGGAACATTCCAGTACAGAAACTTTGAAGGAAACTGACAAAGTAAATCCTTTTGTTGCTGATGGGCTCCATTGTTTCGATGGAACAAATAATGTATTAATTGAAGGAGAAGAAGGAATTAAACAGGAGTGTGGCAGTCCAAAGAAGAAACCAAAAAGAAGGAAACCTCTGACTCTTCGAAAGAAGAGGCTTTCCTCTGCACCTTCAGAAGTCACTCAGGATGAGAACACAGTTCTGTCAGGTCCAAAGCAGCCGTACTTTTGTTTCCCTGCAGCTGATGGAAAGCAGCATTATTATTGTATTCCATGTGGGAAATCATTTCCATTTCGGTCCTATTATATGAGGCATGAGAAAGTTCATCGTAAATCCCGCCACATTTGTGGTTATTGTGACAGGCAGTTTTCATGCAAATCTAATTTAGACAGACATGTAAGGTTACATACTGGACAGAAACCGTATACTTGTCAAGATTGTTCCAAAGAGTTCCAGAACAAGTCTGAGTATATGAAGCACAAGAACGCTTGTAGCGCTTTTACTGCCAAGCCAGAACCTATAAAACCTGAATCAACTTTACCTTTGATAGCAGACTCTATCATTGGAGGAGACTCTTATCCTTGCTATATCTGTAGACAGACATTTGATAGTATTCATAAATTGCAAATGCATAGAAGAAGTCATGATGAGTTCTGTTGTCGTAGATGTGGCAAGTCCTTTGATGGTGGAATAGCCCTCAGCAATCATTTGAGAACACACAATTTTGACGGTTTCAGACGTTATTCATGCAAGATATGCAAGAAAACTTTTAGCAATGTTACATCACTGGTGAGTCACAAGAGATTCCATACAATGAGAGAAAATGCTGCTGCTGTAACAGCTGCTAAAGCCAGTACCAAACCCATTACTCTAATTTCAAAACCAGCAATAAAGAATCTGAATGTGAGTCATATTAGTGGTCCAGTTCAAGGTTATAATTGTACAGTTTGTAAAAAATGGGTCAAAACTCAGTCTGTTCTCAGAAGACATATGACGAGTCATACAAAACTTAAATTGTTCTCTTGTGTAATCTGCAGTATATCGATGGGATATGCGTCATCTTTGCACAAACACATGCGGATTGCTCATAATGTGGAAATGAGCTACAAGGATATCCATTCAATGTTCAGGATGCCAGCACTTGAAGAACAAGAAGCATTGTGCATGCTAGAGCAAGTTAATAAGACATCTGTCGATAAAAATAAGAAGCCAGAAGGTGGAAAGTAAGGAGTGGTCACAGTTGATGATCCAAATGAGGACCTCGACGATACAGAGTCTGTAGTTAAGTACAGCTGCATGTGCAGTATCTGTTTTAAGACATTCTCGAACAAAATACTACTTGAGAACCATATGAAGATTATCCACATGGGTGGGAGGGCATACAAATGCAACATTTGTTCCAAAATATTTGCTTACAAGCATTTGCTAGTGAAGCATGCCAAGATTCATCCTTGTTCCAAAATGTTTGCTTACAAGCACTTGCTAGTGAAGCATGCCAAGATTCATCCAGGTAAAGACCATGATTATTCCTGCAGTGTATGTTCAAGAACATTCCCAGATATGAAGACCTTGAATAATCACAAGGGCGTTCATACTCGATCAAGATATTATACATGTCCTATTTGTTCAAAATCATTTAATGGTTTAAAGAATTGGGAACAGCATCAGAAATTTCATAATTCATCCATAAGGTTCAGATGTAAGTTGTGTGGGAAAACATTTTTATCAAAATCTGATTTATATGAGCATAAAAAGATGCACATTAAGCTCAAGATATATACATGTGGTGTTTGTAAAAACTCCTATAACAGTACATCAACGTTAAACAGACATAAGCGAAAGAAGCTTGGAGAAGACCGGTGTTGTATTTGTAACATTTGCAATAAGACTTTCACTGATTCAGTATCGCTGAGTAAGCATAAGCTGATTCATTTGAAGAGAGAATTTGGTAATATGGAAGAAATGTCGGATACTTTGGCAGCACGGAAGGCTTCTAATAATACTGGCTCTGTAAATTTACTTGGGAAATTTCACTGTCTGTTATGTCAGAGAGATTTCCCTGATCAGATTTCTTTAAGTAAGCACAAAGGATGGCATTCTAGGACACCTTTGGAGTCTGAACTTCCAATTCCATTTAAAGGAAAGAAAATGTATGTATGTAGTTACTGCAACAGATCATTTGCTAATAGTGGATCACTGTCCAAACACAGGAAACTAAATTGCCCCCCTAAAAGAAATTACGTTAAGAGTCTAATACCCACAGCGTTGATCCCAGGAAAATCTGCGTTTTCAGTAAAACCAGCGCTGCCGTCAATGAGAACAGCGACACAAGTAAAACAAAGTATTCTTTCAGGAAAACCAAACATTTCTTCATTTGCAAATGTTCCAAAAACTGAAAGAGCAAGATCCTTCCCTTGCCTGATGTGTGAGAAAATCTTCAGCAATAAGAAAGCTTTGATAAGACACAAAGGATGGCATTCAAGGTGTCCCACCCTAGGGAGGGAACAGTTGCCACCAGTTGACTGTCTACCAGAAAACACTGTTAGGAACGTGACAGAGGAGCAGGTGGCATCGAAACGCCGCACTTGTAATGTATGTTTCAAAGTTTACAGTTCAGCATCGACTTTGAGCAGACACAAACGATTACATACAAGGAAAATTCTTACAAACATCAAGAGTATAAAAAAAACACTTCCTGTAGTCAGAAATAATAAAGAAGCAGGCCCTGAAAGTTTGCATGCCTGCCAATATTGCAGGAAATTATTCCGATTCAGAAGGCACCTAGTAGATCATGAACGTGTTCACACAGGAGAGCGTCCTTTCTCGTGCAACCAGTGTTCATTGTCATTTTCAAGAAGGGCAATCTTGTGGCGTCACAAAAAGACTCATTTAGGTTTTTGACCATTTTCCTGCACTGTTTGCTCTAAATCGTTCCTCATGAACTTTCAACTTAATCAACATTTGGCTGAAAAACACATGCCCAAGGAAATATATGCGTGTCGTAGATGTGACAAAACATATTGTACTATGATGGCATTAAGAAAACATGAACAGCTGGTGCATGAGGCATATGTAGTGACTTGAATATTTTGATTATGTTGAAGTATCTCCTTTAAGCGGGCCATCCACATACGAGTCTGACTTGCGAGTCTGGCTCGGCGAGCTTGACTCGTGAGCCGGGCTCGGATATATTTCACCACACATGCATAGCAGACTGAGCTCATGACACCCCACCCACAAATGAGTCTGGCTGAATGGAACCCGAGCCGAGCCAGACTCCTACGTGGATGGGCCGCTTTAGACATACTTATATTATTATACTAATTATTGAATGTTTCCATTATAGGTCATGAGAGTTGGTTGTAAGTTTTTCTTGTGGTCCTGTCACTTGGAATGACAGTATATTGTGAGATTGGTGGGTGTTATGTGTGTATACGCACAAACACACACACATATTTTACTGGTGTGTGTGTGTTTTTCTTTCTGTCTTTCTTTCTTTCTTTTAATATGTTATACTGAGCTGTCGTACGTGGTTTAATGAAATTGAATCTGACAGTGTCTTGCTTAAATCTTTTAAAGTGCGTAATTAGCTACAAATACAAATTGTGACTTCTTTATCTGCCTGTCACTAGACAGAGTGATCTGCTCGGGTAAGGATAAATGTGAAAACGAAGCAGTGAGTGATACCTCGTTTAAGTGTTGTATATGTATGCCCATTGAACTTGCGAGTTTGATACTTCACATGCACAGCATTTGATTCGCGAGAAAGGTGAAAGTGTACTGTTTACAAAGCTTAGGAAGGAAATCAGCGCATTGTGATTTGCTGTGTATGTGGTGCCCAAAATGCCCATAAATATGGGTCTAATTGTTTCGAAACCTCAACCTCGGACAGACGGACCTAACAGAAGGACCAAATGGAAGAGGAGAATTGAGGAGGCCATGGACCGAATATGGACCGGAGAGCCATAGAAGAAGAAGATGGGTCTGTAATGAGGCAAGATCAAACATTAATGCCTAATGTGAAGTCGCACATTATAAAGTGTATGGGCTTCTTTTTATATGTATATATGTGTGTGTACGTGCACACGCACACACCAAGGAGATGGTGTGTTGTCTGCCATATCTCAAGATGCTTCATTAGGGTGTCTTGGGTCACAACTGGAAGAGGAAAATGGGAACATGGTAATTTTTCAGCACCGTGAAGACTGCCGTACTGGTCATTAGAAGTCCTCATTTACCTGGATGAAACAATAAGCAGTGGTGAGGTCCCGGTAGAAACATCGTTTGGCCTCCGAGTCTGCCAAATATGACACACTCCCTCCTCCTGCCACGTGTTTGCGCTCGGGTTAATGAAGAACATCGTGACACTAAATGACCCACAGACGTGATGTGACGTTAAAGATTACCGCAACTTTCTAGGAAATCACACCAAAGATGTAGAATGTTGACTGACATTGGGAAAATTTGGCATCATACTGTGATCTGTGCTGGGTCTGCAGGACGAGGGGAGTGAGTCCAAAAGATCCTAATCACGGTGTCCCACCTTTGTAGATGAAGTGTGCCAAATACTGATTCATGCTGTCGCTATTTAAAAATGTGTTTAGTTTGTTCATACCCAAATGGATAATCCTGTAGTAACTGGTAAATAAGGATGTGATGTTTCGCATTATGTAATTCATGAAAGACGAGCATTTATTTGGATAAGAATCTTTTTGCCTTTAAGATCTTGTAGTGTACTTTACATTTTTAAATCTTTTTCTGTTATAATTTTTATAATTACCATTATAACTTGAACACTTTTGATACATTATGATCATTCAAAACTCATAATTTTACTATGATCCTGTGTTTTATTACACTTTGAGTGGAATATTTGCTAGAACTAATGGTGGTAACCGGTGAAGAAGAGTTTTGATAGAAAGTTAAATTTTACCCACATTGAGCATTAATAGCTGTTGCAAAGTTTTATGAGGAGGTGATGTTTTAGGTTTAATAGAGTTGTCATCTAGAACATTATAATTTACATAAAATTTATCTTGCCAGAAATGAATGAATTTGCCCCATCAAAACTAAGAATTTATTTAGTGGTACTGGGTAGTGTGCATGCTTTGTAATTGGAGATTGAAGCAGATTATATAATAAAATAAAAATCTTTTGTTAAAATTTTGTGGCACAATTTCTTTGTTTTTGTAGAGTTTTTTTCGGCAAACAGTTTACATTTGTTTCTTTGTACCATATCAGGTGGCCCCAAGGTGCATAATGCCTTTCCAATCTGTATGCCATTCAGACTTATGGAAGGAGTGTGCGGAAGTATTGCTTCATGCATTCTTAACCTCGGCACTGGATGGAAATGAGTGCGCTGATCGCACTATCCCAAAGGAAAACTGTTGTACCCATTGCGTAGGAGGCTGCTTGGGACCCAGAACTGGTCTGGACAATTGTGATGAATAGAATGAACTCTAGTCATCCAGTGATAACGAATGACAACTTAGAAAACATTTTTTATTGTAGAAATCATAGCAAATTTTATTTCTAATTTTCACATCTAAAATATCTGTTGAGCTCAGGTAATATGACGCTTGATAGAACAGTGTGCATCCTTTTCATTCACTGTTGCTTATGTTCTCAACATCCATAGCATGAGATTTATAGTGTGAGAGGTATGTCAAGAGTGTCGCAATGGCATGCGAATAAAGAGGTTATACATTTTTAAAGGCTTAAAATGTTGATTCACTTTTTAGTAGGACTATGGCAAAAAAGTTTTTTCAGTGCCCACCACAAAATTCTGAAATACACTTGAGACTTAGCAGCAATTGCTTTTCCATTTTTGCCAAGCATGAATCGTTTTATTCATGATTGCTGGGAACATTTTGTTTGTTTCTTTGGTGTAAATGTTATCATAATCTGGAAAGTTCTATTCTCGAACGAGAGAGAGCAGAACTTAAGTTCTTCAATACGAATATTTATTCTGCTAAAAGCATTTTTAAAAAAACAGTATCCTAGTAGCAGAAGCCTGATGATTTGTTCAGGACTATAACGGGCTAACATTTTTCATTTGGTGTTCTTTCATTAATATAATCAACGATACCACTGCAAAATCAGTGTTCTTTTAATAAGTAATATTCCGGTACATTATCTCAGCTAACCACTGATTGAGAAAAAGATGGTGTAGCGTAATGGTGAAAAGTGACAAAAAGTATGTTTGTGAGACCTTGATGATTAGACAGCTAACATTAGCGGGGTACCAGATACATGGAACATTTCATTCCTGGTTTATTTAATAACGCTTCTAATAATTCTAATTATTTAGCTTAGAGTGATAATATGGTAGGTGAATAATGAATTGGAAAGTTTGTGGCCTAATTTACGGCTCTATTCCGGGATTTTGTGGATGAGCTTACGGAAATTACGAAAACCTGCGCTCAGAATAGGCTGTCTCCGGGCCGAGATTTGAACTCGGGACTTCGCGAATAACGAACTTCAATGCTTAGCACTGGGTCATGACGTTCGGTGACATCTTAACAAATTTGGCCTCCAGTCTACTGACGAGGAAGATAAAGTAAATCTATCTTCTGTAAGTATACTTGACTTCCAATCAAGAAGTATGCAACAAGATACATACTTAAAATATCAGCATTAACCACAATAACTTTCCTGTAAGTAAATGCCTCAGTGAAGATAGCCGATAACCCAGCAGAAATTGGAATCTGACACCTGAGTACACATTTAGATGTTGCTGCTACTACGACGTGCTCGGTGAATCATTGTGTAATAGATGACGTAACTTTAACTCTTTAAAAATATATTATTTGAGGAAATCAGTGTTGCAGTAGATAGGTAATGTTTCACGCATTCGTGCGTGTTCAACCAGACAAAGAAGCGGATATCAAACAGCGTGAAAGTTGCTGCTTGTTCTCGGTTTATTGATTGCTGTCACTGATTGCAGAATTTAACATAGAGAAGCTTGGACGAATATATTGAGCTGAATTACTCTAAATTAACCCACGACGATGTAATAGATTTATTATGTGTTATTAATTTCTTTGTACAAGGTCTTCCTTAAAACCTTGATAAATTACTGAGGTACTTTAGAATTTGCCTGCTTGTGTGGAACCAAAAAGTTCGATACTATGTTTACAAAAGCCCGCCATCGACCCGGTCCTATACCAGTTTTTTATTTACATTTCTCCGGACAAATTATCAGTTATTCAGCAGATTAATTTCTGTTAATTTATTGGCGAGTGAAGGAATTACCTACCCCAAAAGTATAATTATTTACAGAAAGATCGATAGTATATCGATACGAGAACAATAGTGTGTGGTAGCACTGTTTTACGGTTTTATCGCATTTGGTGATCAAATATTTTTCGAGTCTGGTCGTGCTGTAGTGTTTATTGAGAAGGTTTAAATTCTCATTCTGTGTAATGTGATCCGAAAACGAGAATCTATCCTCTCAAACAGATGGATGTGACGAATATTGCCAGGTGCGTATTAAAGCAGAACAGAACATATTACCCATGAACGCGGGAGAAGGGCGGTCACGTCTTCTTGGCAGCCATTGGTCCTACGTAAAGGTAAGATTTAAGAACGTGTGTATCCGAAGTTAGTTTATGTAATTTATTGTGCTGTGGGCAACTTCAGGCATGTGTCTTCATAATACCATTCTTTGTGGTTACAATAGTTTTGTTGTTTCTCGGCACTACAACCCTGTTGTGGGTTTTCGCCGCCTCCTTTTTGTAGGTTTCTTGGTTTTGGTTGTGCATGAAGTAGTGAGTGACCAGCCCACTAACTGTGCACAATTTCTACTCACAGCTGATTTGACTGCCAGAGCAATCTAGCAGTTAATCAGGAGGCTTTTGGGTGAGAAATGGCCGTTGAATTTTGTTTACGAAACATCTTGTATCATGCTCGAAAGGTTCTTTTACATGCCGTAAATCTACGACAGGTTATAATAGTACCTCTACATTATTGCTGAGCTATAATCAGTGTGATCATAAGTATTAAAAATGAAGGGCAATGAAGAATGTAAAATTAGAATAATCGAACTATTCGACTTTTTTGTACTTCGCAATTATGCTAAGGCAGGAACAAAGAAATGTACAAAGATTTAATGATTGATTTCGAACCATGAGTGATATGATTCACAAAAGCATGGAAATCTTTTGATAATACACAGTTGTGATTGTAGATGTATACCATTGAACCATCTTGACCCAAAAGAAGTGGATTAAGATGCTCTGTAGTTTTCACCTTTTGGAGAAGAGGAAAAACGAAGGAGTACAGGGAAAAACTGATTACAGTATACAGGTTGGAAATAATTTCACAATTTGAACTTACATGTCAGGCCTGTTTTAAAATAGGACAGAGTACAGATATAATCCCTTGAAAGATACTTGATTAGTAAATACGACGTAGGAACAGGGTAGGTCCTTCCAGAGAAGGGATCAATTCAAGAACGAAAGATAAAGAGTCGAATAGGCCATTAACGTAAACCAGTGATGCCAAACCTATGGCACGCGATAAAATGTTGACTGCCACTTCATTTAGATAATAACAGATTTGGCGATTGTCTTCCTGAATTTGTAACATCGCAACAAAAACACATGTAAATGTACTGATACAAATAAAAAATTCTGTAGCATTGGTAGTCCCTTATACATATATGGCACGTATACTCAGAAATAGCTAGACGTCAGCAGGTCTGTTCGTCGGGCGGGTATCCGTCCACGGACAGATGTGGGATAGACAGGAGCGTATGACAGGCATAACACAATTACTAACTCAATGCAAAAATGGCACAAGTCGAAAGCCTTTCAGCGCAAGAGCGTCCTAAGTAAGAAAATCATTCACTGTCACACGTGACATAAGCGTAGACGGGCTCACGTGGAAACAACAGAGAGCAGATAGACTTGGACAGACACAGAAAGATATAGTCCAAAACAGGTATAGTTATGCGCAGTAGGAACAGATATAAATTTATGCAGCAAACGGCATACTGATTTATGATGTCATATATAGATACAAATAAATAGTATAAGGAACAAGTCAAACAGTATTCTACTTTATCGCATCTTTGCCACTGAAATAACTGTTTTCAAAATACATAATTGTGACTGGAACTTTTAAGCACGTCATTAACACTTAAAGCGAAGTTAATAGAATTTATACAAATCATAGTGAATTCAACTAGCATGTACTCTTTTGGTCAGAATAACCCTGATTCAGTAGGGACCACAACGCCAAAAGAATGAGCGTGCAGTAAAGTAATGCTTTTAAGACACTTTTATGGTTCAATGAAGTGACCTTTGCGAAAGGTCAGAATGTCATGGCCGTGGCTTCCATGCACTGCATGCAAAAGCTTTTCAAATCTTAATAAATCATGCCCAAGACTGACTGCTATAGGAAGCCAATAGTCGCTCGCAAACATTCGTCTAAATGTTCGATTGAACGGATTTCTATCCAAACTTTCCTGGCAGCTGCCCAGTTCCAAATTCATTGAGAAATTTAACCAACAACCATATTGAAATAAATGGTCACAGTCGTGATGATTATGTTTTTGTGGGTTTAAGCTGCATGTGGGCTCTTAGTTAGATGCAAACGTTTCGGAGAAACATACTCTCTCTATCTTCAGGTCTAAAGAGCTTACGCGGCCCTGACGGTGGAGGCTACACGCACCTATAGCACGCCGATAAATTTCGAGAAGATAGGAGATATTAAGTGAGAGTTGGGTATTTTTCGAAGAATTTGTCAGGCTTTTTGTAAACAAAAATCAGGATAGTCGGCTAAAATTATCTTTTTATCACAGTTGCTGTGAAGAACAAGTCTTAGCAATTCTTTCAGTGTCATGGCGGTTCAAGGGTTATGTATGTCTGAAAAAAAGCAGTTCTTAATGTGTCTAAATGTTTTGTCTGTCGGAGAGTTGAAGGATAGAAATATATGTAACGGGGTCAAAACACGCACACATCCTGCCAACAATTTCCCTAATATTATAACAGGAAATTTATCTTCGAAACAAACTGTGAGGTGTTAGAGAAAGAGGATAGAAGTGGCAGGGATCCACGGTCTTGCGTATTTTTCTATGGCATTGTCATCCTAAACGGCAGTCTTCCTCTACCAACTTTCTTTCCTTAGTACGTTTTGATTTACGTCATACGCGAGTCGTTCTTCTGTTTCTACCCCCATGCAACAAAAACGCCTTAATTTCAATTCTTTGCGATGACGTAAATGCTCTCTTTCAGGTTGCTAAGCGACCGCTGCTTCTGTCGCATGTCTGTACAAGGAGTGTGCTTCAGACTTCTGCGTCAATTCGTAACATTTCCAGATGTAATCAGAATCTTGGAACCCTAGCAATGGACACTGTTCGCCATGAAACGAGTTTCGTATAACTGATAACTTATGCATCTCGGTTAGTATAAAATGTCTTATTTTCGTGGCGGATATTGATTTTCCTTGAGAGAAAGAGTGAGAGAGAGGGGGGGTGCATTTGTCGTGGTTTGACTGCTGTACCTCATACCATCGACCAATACGTAATATAAGGAAATGCTTGAAAATCACCAGTAAAGGAGGACTTAACATAACGTTCATGGAGCTCCGAGAAAAGCATTCGCATGTTGTACTGTCGTATAGGGCATAGTCCAAAAGTACATTGAAGTATTTTAATTTCATTCTGTCGTCATGAAAGCTTATATCTTATACAAAAGTTATTGACATTTTTTTATTTAAATAGCACGGTATAAGTTCTCCGTAAGGTAAAATTGTACTCTCTCCCTGGTACTAGATCACCCATGATTGCAATATTCGACAGTTCTGAGTGCGACTGAATACAAGCGATGCTGAGCTTATTCTGTAGCTAGTGTGACATTTTGTACAGAATTTTCCCGAGACAATCAGAATATTATTGGTATCTGACAGAATGGTGAAAATACGAACCATTAATATTTTTAGTTAGTACGTAACTTCATTTGCTGATATGAGATATTTGGTAAATTATGGATTATAAATTGAAGTAATACGTCTTAAGGACGCTTTGAGCTTATCTTTGAAAATATTTAAGCGTTTAAGTTGTACTAAAATACATCGCTGTAAGAAAACACACGACCTTGTGTGCGCAGAAGTTGAACCCTACAGCTTAGCGTTTTATCTATACATGAACATTTTTAACTAACTTTTATCTAAGTCAAGAAGTTTCGGACGTGGGATTTGTGGTCGTTTGTTGTATCGGTGCAGAGCAAGTGGTGGAGAGGACCTACTGTTTTCTATATGGTTAATACTGTAATAGTGTCCTTCATAACTAGCGACTGAAGAACAATATACTATCTCTTTGTAACACTTGTAGCCTTGAGTCATATAACAGTAATTAAGTACGTGTACTTGATTCTTTACATTCATATGAGCGTGTTGTCTGTTGTGTATGCCAGTGAATTGCCAGGAGTTCGAGAGGAAGAGTCTCTGCCATGTTTTCTGTATCAGCCACAGCCAAAGAGGTCACGAAATTCCGGGTGTGATCGGTCTACCGGTTTTGCTCCAATAAACTGCACTCACGCTATGAGATTTTCGTGCTCGGTACAGATTGTAAAAATGGATACAATCTGTTAGTTCTTGCATGCAAATATATATATATATATATATATAATAAAAACTGATTGCATTTGCGTAGGAAACAATATATAAAAACGGGTGTCTCTTTGCTGTGTTATACTCTCAAATTCACAAAACAAATCGCTTGAACATATTTGTGGACGTTATTTGCACATGCACTGTTTTGTCAGCATAAGTTAAAATTTCAGTTGTGCTGAATGGGCCTATAGTAAGTTGTTAGTTATAAGAAATTGTTGCTTCAGTTTCTTGACTTTTTGTTGTGTATGGTTAACTTCATTAAACTACGAGTGGCATTGAGATTTTCAAGGATTTAGTTCTAACACTGTGTTGAAATGCAGTGTTAGATAGCCGACAAGGGATAGTCCTCAAGATTACAGCTTACATATTGGCTGTGGGGCCTGAAACCCCTCACTACAAGAATCGGGTAGTCCTACGTAGACGGTAATGCATTCCGAACAAAAAATATTTGTCAACTGAGTAAGTGTCAAACTTTCGAGAAAGATACTGTATCGCGGATTTGGTTAAACAGCCAAGTTGTTACAGATACAGAAAATAAAAAAATATCAGTTTTGTTAATATTATTTGGGGAATTAACGGCAGTTTGTTCTGAGAATCATACGAAAATTATAAATATATTTTATGGACAAATTGCAATGTTACTGAATGCCAGAGCAGCCAGTATTCCAAAATACGTAAGATATAAAAACAAAGAATGCGATTTCAGTCGAATCTCTTAACTGTCGATAAACTGAATTAGATCAATTGCTAATTACCTCCAGTCAATTTACATTATGCTGTTTATTTTTAACGTCTGTGGTTATGAAATAGTACTCCAGCGGGGAAAATGTTTCCTAATAAAGATTTATGATAAGATCTGAAGGATTTAGTGACCTCGTTTGTACAACTTCCAACACCTATAGTATTAATATTATACACACGCACACACGTAAGCACCCAGTGTCATTAGTGGAGAATAATTTGGGAACCCTACTCTAATTCTGTTTTAGCATGTCCTACAACATTAGAACGAGTAGTTACTATTCCTGTGCTATGTCCTGCAACGTTAGAACGAGTAGTTACTATTCCTGTGCTACGGTATCATTTGACCGAATTCTGCTAACAGCACGACAGGACGCTGAAATTCCGAGCTGAGATGTGGCTGATCCGCTGATGTTCCGTTACTGGGTCTGCATATAATTTACCGATATCAGTAAATTCACATAGATTACGAGCAAACTATTTTCTCCGTGGTTTTGATGGTTACTGTTTTATTTATTTAAGGCGACGTTGTTGTATGTAGGTAGTGATGATGTCTGTTTTTTAAATAAATTTATTGATTTGGCATAATACGTCACCAAGTCTTTCTGTGACAGGTGAATTAGACACTCACACCACTTCTTCCCTAAGGATTGTGGCTAACACTTTTCTGCGCATCCTTCAGTGACATTTTGGAATGTAAGAAGTCCCTTTTCCTCGTTTTATATCTATTTGTATTGCTTTACTATCCGCGTCGAACCCACTTGTTGCCAGATTTATAATGCTTCTTACTTTACAGTAAATTTGCAATTTTAAGTTTTTTCGGATTTAGCAGTGAGAGAATGAGAAAAATCAGGAATTAACTTAGGATGAGAGCTTTGCCTCCGTGATTAAAATATGGGTTTACGTGGAAAGACTTATTGCCAAACGGCAGGGATATGAAAACACGTTCTGCTGGCCGAGTGCGACCTTGAATTACCTGAAAAATAACAGGACAGCGTGTGAAGAATTCACTAGTGAATGAATAATACGTAAACAGGTGACATTAATTTATTTTTCAAATGCATACTTCGTGTGGTGTGGATTGCGAAACTGTCCGTTTTCTTCCGAATGACCCACTTTCTGGAAAGCTGGATTTCCTCTGGATGCGACCGGTGTAAGTAGATAATTCATACATGACTGTTACATGTAGGCCGTATTTGACATTACTGAAATGAAATTGGCAATGGCGTCCTTTCCAAACGTTGAGTAACTTGCATTTTGACATTTTTGTTTTCACGACGGCGAGTATGAAGTTGGCCGATTTCTGGGATGATGCGCCGTGTACGCTGGTAGAATTTACTGACGTTTCGGAGGTGCTTCTTTCCTCCACCATTTAGGTGATGACTCTGATGATGGAGGCAGCAAATACCTCTAACGCGTGTCTGCACTTCTACCAGACTACACGGCTCAAACAAACCACATCTTCAACTTGCATTTTCTCAACACATGTTTGAGAAAGAGTTTTGTGCGAAAATCATTCACACATTTCTTGTGTTTCTCTTGGAGCCATATGCCCAGTCCATCGAAACCTCCTTGATTTAATTGTCATTCCAGTAGTGGAACTTCGTCATAAGGCCTCTCGTTATGTAATACGCTCCGCTCCCTGTCTTGGTTCCTCTCTGTTGTTCCAAATATAGCTTCTCCGTTCCTGGTTATAGGTGCATTATTCGCCTCCAGGTCTAGGGCTGCCTGATGGGGTTTCTTTACTTCTTTCTCGTGCATTTTGTCACCTGTGTGGAGTTTTCTGTGCATCCAGACTCAGAGTTGTAGATATAACAAACAACATTTTTTGTTTCGGTTATGTATTTTTTTTAAACAGGACACGTCGTTTCCTGAAAGCGACAATCCTTGTTTTGGAATCATACAAAGTAGGCCAAAATGTATAGGTAGCAGCTCGTGGGTCTACAGGATTCGGAAATACATTACTTTACCTTATCGAATTTTAGTTTGAAATTTGTCGTATTGTGGTAGTGGGTTCTGTACTAAGGACGATGCAGTTTACACATTTCACCGTTTTTCGGGTTCAGTCTGGGACAGCGACTGACAACGCATCATCCCGTTAACATATGGTATTCAGCCACTGCATTTTCAGGCAAAATTCCAAGAAACTTCAGCCATTACAGCAGGCATCTGACTTTGCGCTCCTGAACAAATTTATAGGGTGAATGTCTAATGGCACATGAAAATTGATATTTTCTGATATCGTAACGTTTCATCTATGAGAGTATTTATGCGACCACTAGCAAGTTATGTACTAGCAATGACTGGGGGTTCGTCGTGCTGACCACACGTCACTCTGTATCTGGTTGGATGATCGTTCACCTCTGCTTAGGCATGTGAACGTGAGGCCAGCAGCTAATCGTTCAAATTCGGTTTCCAAACCAAGATATGTAGGACAAGTTATGTTGAAAGTTCATAAAACGTTTCATGCCGTTCTGTAAGTGGACGGTCTATGGCTGTCTTATGCCATACTAGCATATGGGATCTTGAATACTTGGAACATTTTCATAACGTCAATAAATTCTCTGTATTTATGGAAGGTTCATCGCCATGCCAAAATATCCCACCAGCTGATCCTGTCCAATGCCGATTTTACCAGTCCCAAACGTTTACACCATGTTTCTCACGACCGTTTTTAATACTTCAGTCTGTACCTGCGTAGAGACTATTTTTCAACACGGCAAGACAAAATATAGACAGACGAGCTGAACGGTAGGAGGCATTTCCCGAATTGATTCTCGTCGTAAGTTGAAATACGTAAGACTGCAACGTCCATAGCACAGAAGCCACCACTACAATACGATACATTTTAAACGAAAATTCGACAAGGAAAAATAACATATCTACTGTTCATCCACTTACTACCTATTTGAAGATTGTTGCCTACTGAGTTATTGCGCTGTGTGGTTTGGAAGAATTACACCGATGTTTCAGAGGTGCTTGCTGCCTCTATCATCAGGGCGATGAGGCTACATGATGGTGGGGGAAGGATACATCACTAAATGTATACCAGACTACACGGCGCAACGACCCAGAAGACAGCCATCTTCATACTCGGGGCCGGGAGAACTGAAATCTCACAAAAGGCATGTCGTTCTTTTCATTTGTTACATGCCTTAATCGCACACATTGTGATATGTGCGCTCTTCTCGTTTAACCTGGAACAAGCAGTGCAGGCAGGGTGTTTGCAGGAGTGTTCGCTTGCCTGCAGCTGTTCAGATAGCTGCAATCGATTCAGTGGGCTCCCGACCTCCCTCCCGCTTTTGCAGCCGAATCGCGCATCGCCCTCCGAATGTAGGCGGCCGTTAGTAGGTCAAGCCGTCGTCTCCGCAATTTTCCAGGGTTGTAAGCTAGGACAGGTTGGTTGCTTCTGGTTATTCGCAGACTTCGTACATGGACAGAGGTCATATGTCATACGACGAGCATGTCATTAACCGAACTCGGCTACCAACAACACTAATTAAGAACTATAGGCCTATTTAGGGATATTAAAATAAAGGGGTCGGGTGGAGATAAAAGGCTAAGTTTGTGACTAAGAGTCGGAATAGTTGGATGGCCGTGAATCGATTCCCGGTAGAGGTTCAAGCATTTCTTTCCTCCGATCTAGTCTCCTAACCAATAGGTTCCGATGGCTCTTTCTACGTGTACGAAGCTGGCCATCCACCTCCAACTGGTGTCAAGGTTAAGAATACATGGAGCTCTACCTCCGCGCCCCATATGAAGACAAGGTGGAGGGAGTACATGTACCTGAGCGCCACACCCGAACGGTGGGGAGCCTTCTTAACATTGGTATTAAATGCGGATGAGCGGGTAGCTTCACGATTCAGCTATCTTCACGCCTCTGGAAGCTGTCCCCAGATTCCTGGAATTGGAGGGTAAATAAGCCCTTTCCTGGAATATCTAAGAGAAACCACCACTTTCTCCATTGGGAACAGAACCTTGGTCGTCCAGCCTGCAGCCAGTTGCTTTACTAATCTCTCCACGTTGACTGAGTAGCTTCTTTTAAAATAATCTGCGTTTTATGTTACACAATTCTTGCACAACTGCCCGGCTTAAAAAAAAATATAAACTTTGATTAGAATTTTGTGTGAAGTCGGAGTTGTGTTGAATC